TCAAGATCAGTTTTAGTTGTTGTTTTTCTTTTCATTTTTTTTTGTTTCATTTTTGTATCGTTTATCACTTTATCATATGCAAAAATAAACAACATGTATGCTCTAATCATCCTCTTTTCTCTTTTATTGATTGATGTGAAAAAAATATTTTTGATTATGAGATACAAGTCATATAAAATATGAACTTGAAATTCGTATGTCTTGAGAAGAATTACAAGTTGATGTTGATCGTGGGTAGGCCTGGAAAGTTATCATTCCTGGGTAACGGTCCTACTATTGGGAGATCCTTAGGTCCTCAAGTCCTACTGTTGGGGGATACCCTTGAATTCTCAACTCCTACTATTAGGAGGTACCTTGGGGTCCTCAAGTCCTACTTATTGGGGCTACCTTGAGGTTCGTAAGTTCTACTATTGGGGGGTATCCTGAGATACTCAAGTCCTACCATTGGAGAGTACCTTGGAGTCCTCAAATCTTACTATTAGTAGGTACCTTAAGATCCTCGGGGGCAAATACACTTATCGATCCCACTCATGTATCGACAAAATTCGAGCAAATTAGCCCCCTGAGAAGTTCATTAAAAGTATTGCTAAGGATTCCAGACCAACACTTTAAGAGATAAATCAATTCGAAAAAAACTAAAAATATGCTAAGTGAGGATGAGAGTAAGAGAGCATAATCGGTGGATCAGAATAAATGGCCGTGTTTTGTATTTTAGTTTTTTCTCATCTAATAGGCTTTATAGAAAAAAAACAAAATATATCAAAAGATGCAACGTGAAAAGCTTTACAAATTACATGAGATCGCTTACTTTATTTATATACTTTTTGTTTTGAAAATGCACAAAAAACATTGAACCAGCGAATTTCGACTTTTCGAAAATTGGTCGTAGAGGATCTTGCTTTTTCAGAAAACAATTACAACAAGCTTTACAGTGCAAATTGTAGAGCTTTTTACACTGCATCTTCTGATATATTTTCTTTGTTTTTGCAAAAATATATTAAGTAACAAAAAGATAATAAAAGGAAAAAGCAAGTCTCGTTTATGAGAAAAAATGATTCTTTCTTGATGGCGAAAATTGATCGCACAGAGTTTAGCTTTTTTTGAAGACAAAAAGGATATAAAATAAAATAAGGGTTATTTTATAGATTATAGAGCTTTTCACACTGCATCTTGTAATATGTTTTGTTTTTCTTTTAGTAAAGCATATCAACTGAGAAATAACAAAAAAAATGAATTCGTTCTATAGCAAAAAAAAAATTATCTTTTTTGGACGATCGAAGTTTGGTCAATCAGAATTTTGTCCATTTTTAAAACAAAAAGTGTAATTATAAAATAAGCCGTCTTATGTAAATGGTAAAGCTTTTCACGTTGCATCTTTTGGTATATTTTGTTTTTTTTTTTTTTTATAAAGCCTATTAGATGAGAAAAAGCTAAAATACAAAATACGGCCATTTATTCTGACCCATCTATTATGTGCTCCCTTACTCTCACCCTCACTCTGCATATGTTTTACTTTTTTTCGAATCAATTTATCTCTTAAAGTATTGGTCTAGGCCCCTTGACAATACTTTTAATAAATATTCCAGAGGCTAATTAGATAAGTGTATTTGTCCCTTCCAGAAATTAATTATAATTCATCTAAGCTTTTGATTAGCTTCCTTAGGATACCTAAAACAATCTAAAGAAATTAATAAAAGATTGAACATTATATTTCATAATTCACACGCTCTCTAACCTATCTCAAAGAGTATCCATACACATGCATTGAATATTAATGACAAAAAAAAACAGAAAAGGTCCCTCTAGTGAAAATGAATTTATAGTGATGCTTTCATAGATAAACTAATTTGTTCGTTATAGTCATGTTAGTTTTTTTCATCGAACTGCAGACAGAAAAGAAAGCATCTTCTCTATATGATTGATCACAAACAAATACGATTATGGTCAGATAAATATGTTTTTATATTATTTTCTATATAGAGACATTTATAAACAAAAGAAGTTAGAATCACTTATATCTATATTAATGAAACTAGAACTATCTGTAGATCCATGCATCTATACAAAAACCTAGATGAAAATTTAAAAAAAAACCAATAGATAAAATTTTCTTTTGAGCAGTGTAATATTTAATTTCCTGTTTGAACCTATTATTTCATATAATGAGATATAGAAAATAATCAAAAGGATTACATCAACTAAATAAGACAATATACTTGATGGCCGTATGAGGGGAAAACAAAGTAATTTTCGAAATTTTCTTCATTATATGAATACACCTAGAAATTTTTAAAGACTAAAAAGATTTTCTTTTTTCAAATAAGATAGACTAATAAATTATATTAACTTATATCAATTTGAATAGAAATAAAAAAATATTAAGAATTGCAATGTAATAATCGATACCTGTAATAACAGTGAATAGACTATTTTATACTTTATAGTTTGATAAGTTTATAAATTGACAAAGAATTTTTGTTCCATAGAGCAAAAGATTATTACAGTCTAATATTTATTCTATGCAATAAATAATGACATTTAAGCCTTTCAATAAAAAAATCTCTGTTAAAAGGTTAAAATAATTACACGTCATTCTAGTCAATCAATATCAATCTTTTCATTTTCATGTTTCTCATTAGTCAATTATGTCAAAATACTTTTTCTTTTACAGCTGACTTCAACACAATTTCTATATATTTGATCTCTACAATAAAAATGTTTATTTTTCTAAAATTAAACAAATCATTGCATTCTTCAACCTAGCTATAAACATGAAAAGTATCAAAGAATAATTGTTTTACTGTCGTATAACTCTTATGTCAAGCTAAAACAAACCTATTTAAAATT